TCAATATTAACTTTAAAAAATGCAAAGGAAGGTAGCCTGGCTGTACCAGATCTAAAACTGTATTATGGTTTTACAGCAGTAGTCATCAAAACTATTTGGTACAGGCCGAGAAACAGAGTGGTAGTTCAGTGGAGTAATTAGTTGCACAAGATACTGTAGTAAATGATTATAGTAATATACTGTTCGATAAACCCAAAGGCTCTAGCTTCTGGGATAAGAACTCATTATTTTAAAAAAATTACTGGGAAAGCTACAAAATACTATGGCAGAAACTAGGCATAGACTAACATCTCACACGATAAGCCAATATAAAGTCAAAATAGGTATATGATTTAGACATAAAGGGTGATACTATAAGCAAATTAGGAGAGTAAGGAGTAGTATACCTGTCAGATCTATAGAAAAGGGTAGAATTTATGACCAAACAAGAGGTAGAGAACATTATGAAATACAAAATGGATAGTTTTGATTACATAAAATTTAAAAGTTTTTGCACAAATAAAACCAATGCCACCAAGATTAGAAGGAAAGCAGAAAGATGGGAAATAGTCTTTATAGCAAGTGTCTCTGATAAAGGCCTCATTTCTCAATATATAGAGAATTGAATCAAATTCATAAAAATACAAGTCATTCCTCAAATGATAAATGGTCAAAGGATTTGGGCAGGCAGTTTTCAGATGAAGAAATTAAAGCTATCTATACTCACATGAAAAAAGGCTCAAAATCACTGTTGATTAGAGAAATGCAAATTGAAACAGCTCTGAGGTTGTCACACCTACCAGATTGGCTAATATGACCAAAAAGGATACTCATCCATTGCTGGTGTAGTTAGGAACTGATCCAACCATTCTGAAGAGCAATTTGGAAATACGCCCAAAGGACAACCAAACACTATTTAATCCAGCAATACCACTACTAAGTCTGTATCCCAAAGAGATCATAAAAAAAAAAGCAAAAGGACCTACATGTACAAAAATATTTATAGCAGCTCTTTTTGTGGTGGCAAAGAATTGGAAATTCAGGGAATGCCCATCAGTTGAGGAATGGCTGAACAAGTTGTGGTATATGAATGTAATGGAATACTGTTGTTCCATATGAAATGATGAACAGGTGGATTTTAGAAATACTTGGGAAGATTTATGTGAACCATTGCTGAGTGAAGTGAGCAGAACCAGGAAAAGATTGTACACAGTCACAGCAACATTGTGTGATGATTAACTATGATTGACTTGATTAACTATGATTGAGCTCTTCTCAGCAATGTAATGATCTAAGACAATTCCTCAAAAGACTCATGATGGAAAATGCTGTCCACATCCAGAGAAAGAGCTATGGAGTCTGAATGCAGATTGAAGGATAGTATTTTCACTTTTGTTGTTGTTATGGTTGTTTGTGTGGCTTTTCCCTTTTGTTCTGTTTCCTTCTTCACAACATGACTAATGTGGAAATATATTTACATGAATGCACACATATCAGATTGCTTGCCATCTTGGAGTGGAAGGGTGGGAGGGAGAGAGAAAAAATTTGAAACCCAGAATCTTGTAAAAAATGAATGTTGAAAACTATCTTTACATGTAATTGGAAAAAAATAAAATACTATTTACAAAAAAAAATCAAAATTAGATAAAAAAATAAAGTTAAAATAGACTGCCCAGAAAGATAGTGAGTTCCTTATCACTCAGAGGGCTTCCATCAGACCCAGCTAACCAAGTCTCAGGATAGGGTCTTGTGTTTTTCAGTGAAGTTTGCATATGGTCTCTGTGGCCTCCCTCTTTCAAGTCTCTAAATGTCTGATTGATTCAAAAAGTTTGTGATTTCTCCAATATTATCCTATCAATGGGAAGGGCAATGCCTAAAGTTTATATCCATCCTGTATGCTGCCTAATTTCCAACTAACATATTTAAAATGTTTGTAAGAATTATTTTTAATTGAATATGCACATCACAAGTATTACAAACATTTTTAAAATAAGTTAAAAATGAAATGAATTGGCACCAAACCTGTGATTTCATTTTATAGGGTATTCATGAATAAGTGAGTACCTTCTACCAACACAGGCAGGTTCCTTCTCTGTAACTTCCAGTCTTAAAGTTTTGGCTAGATCACTGACATGCCCAGAGTTACACAGCCAGTATATATTAAAGGTGAGACTTAAACCCAGATTCCTCTGGCTTCAAAGCCAACTTTCTATCCCCGATACTAGACTGCCTTTCATGTAATGCATAATTTAATTTAAAAAGCCAATACATTAGAAAAGTAAGTGCCAAACTCAACCCTCAGAAAGTTTGAAATTTGGAAATTAGTATGTTAAAAGTATACGACCGCTGCTCGAAATGTAAACCTTTTTTGGATAGGAAGGAGGAATCTCTGGGAAATCATGTTTTCCACATTTGAATAATGCAGAGAATATAGCCCAATTTTAAGCTGAGACAAAACATGGGAAATTTCAAGCCCAAATGAGAAACTCTAAGGAAATTCAGTGCTTTTGTGGTTGTAATTTTATGATTATGCAGCCTCTCTATATGCCAAGGGAAATAAAAGTCTGATGTTAATGCTGGGCTAGGTTGGTTTGTTTGTCTTTTAATATAACTCTAATTATATTTCCAAACATACTTTTTCCTCTTTCAAATGGATTTCCTAAATGTTTCAGTTCACCTTACAAATATGTGTGTGTGGAGAATGGATATATATATATATATATATATATGTATGTGTATATGTATATGTATATATACACATACATGTATTCTACATAAAATGGAGAGAATATTAGTTTAAAATAAATAAATGTGACTTTTATAGGGTGGCTGATGTCCTGGGGGAACAAGATAGGCTGTCTCATGCCAGAATTTTGGCTGATTGTCAACATTTATCTAAGCACACAAAGGCAAAAAAAAAGCGCTTTTTGATATATAAAAAACTCTTGAGCCTCATGGTGTAATGATAAGGAGAAGATATCTATTCATCAAGTTTTTCTAGATTTACATAAAACGTAGTCCATGCAGTTACTTTTAGGGAAATAAATGGATTCTGTACTGACTAATGTCATAGTTCCAGTGAGGTTTCTATGCTAAAGTAAATTGATTTCTTTATTAGCAAATATTCAGAAAGATATATTTTATTTGAAAATCTATCGTGAAGAGGAGCCTGAATTTCATAATGGCTAGCAGGGAGAATACTCACTTGTAGCCAAATGGCCTTTCACTGAAAAGGATCCCTAATTATTTTGAGATTATTGTCCCAAGCCAGCTGGCTCATAGGCTGTAATTCCCCAAAACTGTGAGTGAGTTATAAATCCAACAGTAGCTGATTCTGAAATGACTGAATAGGCCCATGTCACATTTCTGTGTCTCAATTTCTACCCTGAAAAAAAGGGGATTGGACGAGATTGATCTCCTAAGGGCCTTTCCGTTCTCATGGTCTTTGGTGCTAAGACCTCAAAATTTCCTTCCAACTCTTAACATTCTGTTTTTCTAAATTTTGAATTTACTTTTCAAGCAATAGAACTTCATTCTTCTATGCTGTTGTGTTTGTGATTCCAGATCTACAGTTGTATTTCTCATTCTGATCTTAAAATATAAAAAGATTGTACTCCATGCTCCCGTGACATTTTAAAATATCTTTTCCATTTTTTTTCTTTTCTACTAGGCCAGAAAATTGTTGATCCTTAACTAGTTGTATAAAATTTACCAGAAACAGCTTGTATGCAACTGTGGATATTTCAGGCTAGAAAGCACAAGTGTTCAACATAAGAGGAAAAATGTACCAACTTTTAAAAAATTCTTGTTAATGAGCTGATTTGTTTTAAAACTAATATGCCTGTAGTTTTTTGAATACAAAGATTTGCTAAACTTTATATTCTAGAAACTTATGAATATTTATAGTTACCATGGATCATTTTCAAATATGAACAGAAATCTTTTTTCAGGTCCTTTATATATATTTATGTTTATGTCATTGATAATGGAATCAGATTTGCGTAGCGTATCTATTAGAAGCCACTTAGTTTCTATTGGTGACTATAAATTTATGAGGTCTCTTCTAGCTCTAATATTTTATGATATAATTACCTGAAACCACTTTATAGTACACTCTCACTGTGGAATAGAGACATGCAATTTTAGCTTTACTAAGTCATCAGTGTAGTCCCTTATTGAAAACACCAATAAGCTGACAAAGTATAAATTATATAAGAAGGATAAACTTAAACTGGAATGAGATTTTTTTTTTTTGTAAGGCAGTCAGGGTTAAGTGACTTGCCCAGAGTCACACAGAGCTAGCTAGTAAGTGTCCAGTATCTGAGGCTATATTTGAACTCAGGTCCTCCTGGACTCTAGGGCTGATGCTTTGACTGTTGCACCACCTAGTTGCTCCACTGGAACAAGATTTTAAAGAAGTATACCTCCAGGCATGAACCTATTATCAATATCTGTAAACTAAATCTGCTTGGAATTCAAAGATTCCTTGAGACATCTCCAATTTTTCCAGCCTCATGTTACTTTGGTTCTATGATAGCTTGACTTATAAGTTCCCTTTAGTCATATCTCTTTAACTGTTGATAGTAGCAGTAATAATAATAATAAATAGTAATAACTGGCATTTTATAGCTCTTTAAAATTTGCAGAGTATTTTAACTACCTTATCAAAGCTGAGTCTGCTTCTTCAAAGATGTAGATGGATATGCAAAAAACCCTCTCTAAGCATACTGGTAAAACATCCAAAGCACTAAGGACAGTAGAAGAACAGTATTAGCCTTATATGTGAAAGGCATTATTTATTAGCGTCAAGTTAAACAAAAGTTTCAAGTACACCAAAATGCCTACCTACTTAGGTCATAAGGTTTCTCCATTTCCTTTCACACTAATGTCACAAAAGTGATCCATTCAACTTGAGCACCAGTAAACAATGTAATATTGTAGCAATGCTAATATACAAAAACACACATGGGACGGTGACATGTTTTATTTTAATTCACATGTGTTTTTCCTTTGCTGTACAGGAGAGCATTGAATTTAGGAATTCTTCGAGACCCTGGATCAGAAGTTGAAGACAGACAATACCAAATAGACTTACAGTCAATCAATATTGGTACTGCTCAGTGGGATCAGCTAAAACCAGAGAAGGAAAGTAGCAAAGGAGGTGTACTGACAGAGAATGAAAGAAATTCTCAAAATCCAGCACTTGAGTGGAATATGGCTAGCAGGTAGGAAATGATTGAGAAATTTTCTACATCCTCTAGTATTTCAACCCCACTTCTCTGATTTTCCCCCACCCCCCACTAACCCACAAGCAGTAAGAAATACAGTCATTAGCATTTCCAACCCAAGTGTTTTCATATTGCTTCTACGTTCCATTATAAACATGAAATCGAATTTTGCAACTGGAGCCCATGTTTTTGCTTAGAGACCTGCTATTCCTATCACTGTTACACTGTGATTATCACAAATTTAAAGTTGGGTCATCATTTCTTAATAACTTCCTTTTTCAGCATATTATTTTCTGAAAGGTATCCACCACAGACAGAAAATAAGCATTCACATTTTTAGTTGAGCACATAGAATTCAGCCATAGAACATCTTTTCTTTTGTTATGTTACATTTTAATCTCTCATCTCTGCCTATAATGGGAAAAAAAGAACAGTATCAAATTTTATGTGAAGTTATGCTTGAACTAAAAGAGGATGAAAATAAGGATTTCTGGCCCTGGGCACTTTTTTGCCCCATCCCTGAATGAAAGCAGCTACATTCTGAGAGGACATTTTTAATTGATTAGGCTTCAATGTGTGCTATAAGATGTGCAGAAAGCAACTTCCAGTTGAGTTGTAGCATTTAATAGAAAGAGAAAAATAATATACATTAAGAGACTTTTGTACAGTAACAGTGGTAACCAATGTGACTTACATGGACCTGTGATTAATAGTATATAGAAACCGTTTACCAGTGCAGCCTTCAGGGATCCTCAGTGTCCCCGAGTCTACTTAAGTTTGTTACAACTGCTCTAGGCTCTAAGACTATTAGCCACAGAGAAGGTACTGGTCTGCATTGGTAGGGGAGTTTCCTCACCTGTTGTTCTATATGCTGTTTAAATCACAAGTCTAGTTCCTATCCAATCCTGTCATATGTAAGGTCAACATTGATTGCCAGTGTTACTGTACAAAAGTTTCTTAATGCGTTTTAAGAGGAGTTCACTATGCCAGTGATAACACAGGTCAAGTCCCTATCTGTACATCTTGTATATCTTCATAAAGTTGTCCCTACCATTGGCATTTTGCAGTAATGTCACTAATTTATCATGAAGTACCAGTGTAACATTCTGAAGCTAATCACCTAAGACACCTTGGAACCTCTGAAACTAGATTCCTTTTGCCTGAGTCATATTCTGACAGCACCATTAGGTGGTGGGTGCTTGTAAAGTATTTTGAACAAAGTAGACTGACTGCACAAATCGCACCTTGTCACCTCAGCCTTCTCCTTCATATTTTATGTTTTTGTTTGTTTTTTTTTTAAGTTTTTATTTGTGGACAAATACCAAAACTTGAATGCATAATAAGAAAAGAAAAAGAAATGTTATAAACTTAAATATTAAACTTTAAAATAAGAAAAGGAAAAATGTCATGTGCATAGCAGAACATAGGAGAGAATTAAAAATATGTAGCAATAACTTTCCATTTCAAGAAAGCCTGTATATTAAATACTGCATGTTATGTTGAAAGTTGTCCATCCTTTCTTTGCTTCCTTGTAGGTTTTCTTTTGTTCTCTGCTGTACACTTTTTGCTTTGTTCATTTTTTTCCCCTTCCTCCCCAGGCTACAATTAAGCATGGATATATTTATATATAGATATTGATATATACATACACATATACATATGTACACATACATACAAATATAAATATATACATATATAAACATATACTTTCCCTAAGATTCTATTCCTAATCATTGTTTTTGTTTGTGCATATCTCTATTTTCCTCTCTCTCCTAGCTCTTCTACTTTACTTGACTCTATACCTTGCCCTCTTATTACTTAACCTACCCCCTTTCTAGCAATCCCTCCCTCCTCCTCCCATTCCTATAAATCTAAATACCCTTTTATACACTCCTTTGATCTATTATTTTTCTTCTACCCACTGCCTCGCCCTCCTATTACTTAACCTACCCCCCCCCAACAATCCCTCCCTTGTCCTCCCCTTCTCATAAATCAAAACAGTACTCCCCTTTGACTTATTCCCTCATCCTCCCCTCTAAAGGTCCCTCCCTTATCCTCCCATTCCCATTGATCTAAACACCCTTCTATCTCCCACTTTTAACCTATTCCCTCACCCTCCTCCCTAAAGGTCCTTCCTTTATTCTCTCCCCCCTCCCTATCCCCTTAGAGTTTTATTTCTTTCCAAATTTAGAAGACTTTTATACTATTTTAGATGTATATGTATTTTTCACTGTTGAACCCATTCCCGATTAAAGTAGTTTCCAGAATTAACAGCCTCCTTCCCCCATCTAATTCCTCTGTTTTGGTTCTTCCTTTCACACCTCATTTGTATAAGATAATTACTCTTTTAGTTGTTCTTAAATGATTTTACTTTTTGAAGTCATATCATACTCAGGTCTACCCCAATCTTTCTTAAAAGCTTCTTAATTACTAATAACAATCTTAGACATAGGTTTTACATTTTTCATACATAAAAGGTAAACAGTCTATCCTTATATTTCTCTTGGCTCTTGAATGTTAAATGTTCTATTGAGTTCAGGGTTGTGGAGTTTTTTTTTGTTTGTTTGTTTGGTTGGTTGTTTTTTTTTAATGAAGACCTGAAAGTCTGACAGTTGATCAAATATCCATTTTTTTTTTCATTCAGAATTATGCTTAGCTTTGCTGGATATGATATTTTCAGCTAGAAGCCCAGTTCTTTTGCTCTTTCATATATGGTGTTCCAAGACTTGCGATCTTTTAGTGTCGTCACTGCTAGGTCTTGTATGATTCTAATTGTGGTACCACCATTTGTAAATTGATTTTTTCTTGTTGCTCATAATATTTTGTCCTTGATCTGGGAGTTTTGAAATTTGACTGTAATATTCCTGTGAGTTTTCCTCATGCAATCTCTTTCAGGTAGTGACTGGTAGATTTTTTATATTTCTATTTTCGCCTGTTGTTCTAATGCTTCAGAATAATTTTCTTTAATTATTTCTTGTATTATTGTATCAAGATTCTTTTTTTGATCAGAACTTTCAGGTAGTCCAATTATTCTTATGTTTTCTCTTTTTAATCTGTTCTCTAGATCTGTTGTTTTCATGAGATGTTTCACATTCTCTTCTATTTTTTCATTCTTTATATTTTGGGTTTTTTTTTATTTCTTCATCTCTTATAACTTTGCTGGCTTCCCTTTGCCCTATTCTTATTTTCAAGAAATCATTTTCTTCCTTAAGATTCTGAATCTCCTTTTTTAATTGATGACTTTATTTTCATAACCTTCTTGTTTTTCTTGTATTACTCTTATTTTTCTTTTTAGTTTTTCCTCATTTTTAAAGTCTTTTTTAAGTTCTTCAATAAATTCTTTTTGGGGTGGTGACCATTTGATATTACTCTTTGGGGCAGAAGAGTTTTTCTTTGCTTCAGTATCCTCCTCTGAAGATTAACCCCAATCTTTTCTGTTCCCATAGTAGCTCTCTCTGGTTGGATTCTTTCTCCTTTGCCTGTGCATTTTTTTTTTTTTTGTAATAGTTTAGTTTTTATAATCACCTCTAGTTCTGAGTTATGGGGGATGGTCCTTCTGGCTCAGATCCTCTTCAGTTCTCCCCTCTGACCTTGAACTCAAACCAAGACCTGCAGCCTCCTGTTAATGCCCACAGCCAGCAGTGTCCTGCCCCACTGCTTCTACACTGACTGGATGTGTGCTGGTTGCTTCTTGCCCAGAACCAAGTCTCAGCAGCACAGCTGGGTCTGGCGTTCCTTGTCAGCAGAGGTGCCCCCGATCTTCCCCAGTTCAGACACCCAATTACCCTCACTATCCCAGGGGCAAAAGTTCCTGTGGCAGAGGCAGCCTTCCAAACCAGTTAACCCCAGGGCTTGCGGCTTGTTGTTTAAAGGGTCCCTAGCCTGGAGGTGTTTATTCTTCACAAGGAGGAAACCTTATCCTGGGATTTTTCTTCAGCTCTTCTAGGATTGCCCCAGGAGGACTCCTGTTCTGCCCCTACTTTTATTTCTTTTCACCACTCTATGTTTGCCCTGAGGAGCTATCTTATCTCTTTCGAAAACCTTGAGAGTTTGAAATTTTCTGACCTATTCCACCACCTTCCCAGAATCCTCTCTATGTTTTGTTTTGTGTTTTTATGCCATTTTCACTTCCCAGTAACCACTCCATGTACAACCTTCCCTTGTAGCAAAGAACAATAATTTTGAAAAATCAAACCTGTCCCAGTGATCATATCTGACAGCATATGCAGTCTTCTGTACCTGTTGTCTTCCACTTAGTTGAAAGTAGGGAAGTATGTTTTATTCTCAGTTCTCCAGAGCCATTGACCATTGAATCTGAGTTCTCTTGGTTTCTTTTCATTATTATTTTCATTTACTGTAGTAATGAATACGTGGTTCTCTCTGTTCTGCTTTCTTTGCTCTGCATCTGTCCTGCAGGTTTAAAGGATTTTGTTGAAATGGGTTTGAAACTGCTGTATTGAGATGGAGCTTTACAGGTCCACCTTAAAATTTACAGGAGAAGTCTCTTAAACATAAGAGCCGCTAAAACTGCCAAGACAGTTCAGGAAGATGCAGTAACATGTATTTTGGTTCTGTTAATAAAAAATAATTGAAGAAAATTATCTTTGATCTCAAAGTCTTTATAATAAATTTAGCATTAATCTATAATGTTTACTTCAGTTAAATTATAAAGACTAGCTCATTCCTGCAAATTTTAGGAGGCTGGTATCTTATTGATTCTTAAGCCTGTTCATTTTCTGTCTCTGTCTCTCTGTATCTCTCTTTCTCTCTCTCTCTCTCTCTCTCTCTCTCTCTCTCCCTCTCCCTCCCTCACACACAAATCCATACATACACACACACACATACACACACACTCTTTGGTGTTTATAAGAAACAAGATGTTGTATATACACTAAAATATCTAGTTGAGTGACATGTTCCTGCAGTATATGTTAAATATATTAGTAATATGTTTCTGTAGCTTGAGAAAGTAATATCTTCTTACTTTTTTATGGTAT